GTGCTGTCAGACCTCAGTGTTGTCGCTGTGATAATTTAACTAATTACATGCTCACTGACCCAACATTTAACTGTTGGTTTCCTGTCTTTCCCAGATTAATATCCACCCTCACCTTGCTAAGTAAGAGACTGAACTGTTACAAAATCACGCTGGAATGTCTGCCCAAAAACGTGGATTTCTACAAGAAGTTTGGCTATTTGGTATCTGAGGAAAACTACATGTTCCAACGGTTCTTTAATTAACAGCTTCCAGGTGGTAAAAAAGACTGTCGGTGGAGGAGCTTGTGCTCCAAACATTCTCTTCGTGGAAAACTTACATAGTTTATTGCTGCAAATATAATGATCCCTATAAATAATGAACATCAAATGTGTAAATCCCGGGGAAAACAAATTAATGAGGTTTTAGAAGGGTCCTCTGGGTTAGGAAAAAAAAAAAAGCTTAGAACTAATTTTTACTACTGTTGAGTCGAGGTGAAGCTTTTCTGTTCTAGCTGAGTTACAAAGGCCTCGTTAAAGGGATGGTTTTTAACCAAAGGTATATATATTTTTATCTCAAATTTTTTCTTGCATTGTATTTTTCTAAAGGTTTGAGCTTCTTTTCTCGGTAGCCAAAGGGGACAGCCCGTGGGACTGTCCTGCTGCTGCCTGTGCTGGTGGTGGAAGGATGGCAGAGCTTGGGAAGGGAATGAGGCTTCTCTTATGCAGAATTACTGACACAGAACAGGCCTTTGTTCTGTTCTTTCCATGACACCTCATGGAAGTGCTGTTGGAAGTTTTATAGGCACTGTTTTCCAAGGCTGGGTTTGTTACTGTTTGTGCGGGTAGGGGAGAATCCCTATGGGCTGTGCTGGATTCCCAGTCTGAAGATGGATGTGAGCTTCTCACTGCAGGGCTCCTGCACTTTAGCTGATAACTTGGTTTTCAGGATAATTAGTTGTTTTCTGACACAAAAAAACCCCAAATGTGGTTTGTGGCAGGGCAGAGGGAACTGGGAAGCTGGAATGTCTGATGGAATATACTCCATCTGTAGTGGATTCTGGCTAGTAATCAATGGGAAAGGGATTGGGATTGGCAGATTCAGCTTCACCTGAGAGAGCTGGAGGTGTTTACCCCGGAGAAGAGACCTTGGAGTCCCTTCCAGTGCCTAAGGGGGTTGCAAGAGATCTGGAGAGGGACTTTGGACATGGGCCTGGAGTGCCAGCACAAGGGGGAATGGCTTCCCACTGCCAGAGGGCAGGGTTAGATGGGAGATTGGGAAAGAATTCCTGACTGTGGTGGGGCCCTGGCACAGGTTGCCCAGAGAAGCTGTGGCTGCCCCTGGATCCCTGGAAATGTCCAAGGCCAGGTTGGACGGGGCTTGGAGCGACCTGGGCTAGTGGAAGGTGTCCCTGCCCATGGCAGGGAGTGGGATAAGATGGGCTTTAAGATCCCTTTGAACTCAAATCATCCTGTGATTCTGTGAACACAACTCCCGTGGGACAGTCCCTGTCCTGGAACTCGGGGGGCAGGGCCAGGTGGGCTCTGCTTTTGCCGGTACAGATTTACACCTCCAGCGTCCTGCTCCCATGGGATTGTAGCTGCTTTGGAGCTTCCCTCTTGCTGTAAAATGGGATAAATGATTTTAGCACTTTTTGCCAGCGGTGGCAAACAAGGTACAAAAGCGCTGGATTCAACAGTGGTGTTTTGTGTGGAGAGTGACAGATCCCACGTCCATGAATAGGGCATTATAAACCCCCGGGGCTCGTAGGGAACAGCCCGTGTTGTTTGTGGGCCGTGCACAGTGTCCTCCATTGTGCTGTGGAGAGCGGCCCTACAGCGTGCTGGGGGCTCTGCTTGATGTTCCTGAGGGTTCTCCACTCAATACAGTGTCTCCTTGGTGATGTCTGGTTTATTTATTGATTATTTTTTTAAAAGATATCTTTGTTTAAGCTGAATAAATGAAAACTGCCAACCGTACCTGGACTGTTTCTCGGAGGGTGGTAGGTCCCCAGAGTGAGTTTGTACCTGTTGCCCTTTCCCTAGACTGAAAAGAACACTTTTTGAGATTCCACAAGGATTTCTCTCCAGGGCTCTTCCCAGCTGTGTTCCGTGGACAAACATCTGATTCTGAACTAACTCTACAAAGCAGCTCCTGCTTCCTGCCGGCCCAAGCGACTGAGGTGGATTTCCTTGCCTTTCACATTTTTAATTAATTCTGAACTCCCACTAATTTCAAGTGGATTAGTTGAATTCCATGATATCTACACCATCTAAACAGCTCCGGGCCCTCATTAAGAGTTAATGAGAAGATTAGTGGGAGTGAGGAGCAGGTGCTTGCTCAGATCATTGTAAAACAAATGGATTGGGTTGAAAGCTGGGGTTTGTGGCTGCATGACAAAGCCTCTGCGGGCACAACAGGCCCTGGAGCTTTGAAGAGCTCTTTGTTCTGTCCCAGAGGTGACATTCCCACCCCTCTGGAAACAGCAGCTGGAGAGCAGAGGCTGCCCCGGGAAGGGGACTTAAAGGGGCCACTGTGGGGTCAGGTGTGTCCCTGGAACAACACCAGTCACAGGTGTGTGTTTGTCACAGGAAGGGGGGAAAATGCCATAAATTACAGCATTTAACAGCCACAAGGGGCATGGAAATATATTGCTGGATCCCATTAATTTAACTGCATTTATCTCATCTCTCTATCTCTACGCAATATATAATGTGGAGCTCTGGGTCCCCAAAGACTTGGGTGCTGCAGTTTTGTGTCTGAACCTGGGGAAGGGGAAATAAAAAATTATTCCCTCTCTACCACTCTTTAAAATCCACACTGAGGGGACCCTCCTGCCAATTCCCACCTCGAGCTGAGCCCCCCCAAAAGCAAACACTGAAACAGCAGCTCAGCTACAGGAGACAGACATCAGGAAGTTTTAAATAAAAGCTTAATAATAGAGATGAGGGAAATTAATTTCTGAATCCCTTAGGATGTGACAGGCAGACAGATCAGAATGACTGTAAAAGGCATCAGGATGTGGTGACAGCATGGAAAAAAAAAAAAAAAACTGGATTGGTGGAAAATCCTTAGTCATGGAGTAGTGACGGAGTCTCGCCAGGACCCCAGGGATAACAGCCCCAGACTGCACATGGATGAGCCTGGTGAGATGAATCAGTGCCTTCCATCTGTGCTTCATCCCTCCCCTTCCCCAGGGACCCAAAATAGAAAGGGATCCGCTGGTTCCCACCCCTGTTTCAGCAGCAGCTCAGACACTGCCAGCCATGTGGGAGCCCCGTGGTGGAAGGGCCGGGAATGTGTTTCCCAACGGCCCCAGAAGAATTCCTTTATGGAGAGTCACTCCTTAGGACGCAACAAACCCTCCACACCACTGCAGAACCAGCCCTGCACGCTGAGCCTGTGGGCTGAACACTGACACAGTCCAGTTCTCCAGCAGGGAAGTCACTTCCTTTTTTCCAGCTGAAAATTTCTTAACTCCACCATCAGACTTATTATTCCAGCTTTTTTTTTTTTTTTTTTTTTTTTTTTTTTTTTTTAATTTTATTTCTGAAGGATTCAGTCTGCTCCATCACTGCTGGAGGTGGCAGAGGATCTCAGCAGCACTTTCCTGTTCCTGCTGATCACTGGTTCAGCACTCCAGGGCCTTCACATTCCATGGGACAGAGGTTATTAGGCTGGAAAGCCTCACCCCTCACGAGCCCTGACTCACTGTGGGATGTTTCCTCCTCAGGTGTCACCCACATCTGTCCCAGAGCAGCTCCAATCCAGGCACGGATTTTCAGACCAGGTTTAACACTCCCGCCAGAGAGCAAAAGCTCCGAGTTCTCCAGAGGGATCAGCCCTCAGCAGGCCTTCCCAGGAGCTGCAAGGCCAGGGAAAAGAGACCCCCGGAGTACTAAACAACTGCATTGTTTAAGTCCTGTTTAAAACCCACGGATCTGAGCCCTCAGGGAATCCCCCCGGCACAGGTTGTCCATTCTGAGGTGGCAGAGGACATTCCCATCCCCACACAGCCATATCCAAGTGCAGGGGGGATGCCCTGATTCCCAAATCTTGAGCCCACCTGCTGCTCCATGTTAAAACACAGTCCAGGTGCAAGCTCAGATTGCCCAAATCCACAGGTTTTTTCCAACAGCTTTGTGAAGTGCTCAGTGCCCACAGCGCTCCCAAGGAACCATCATTCCATTCCCAGCTTTTATGCAACAACCATTGGGAAATAAAGCAGATGCAGAGCTAGGGCTTGCACAACCTCTGTGCTGCTGGGGCAGGAGAGGAGTTAAAGCTGCACAAACCACCCTGACAATTCCCAGTTTGGAAACTTCAGAGCACCAACAAGTGCTTCCTAAGTTGACTCCAACATTTTACCAGAGCTGAGGTGAATCCTTGAAGTTTTGGTCCCGTTATGGGCAGCGCTTTGGGCCTCAGGTTTCAAACACCACCCCAATTTTTACCTCAAACAATGCAACTGTTGACTTATAACAGCAACTACTCCTCCAGTACGAGTTTGAAGATGTTTGTTCAACTCGAATTAACCCATAACCCATTTAACAACCAGCTTTTTAGTGCTGGCTGAAAGAATTCAGCCTTGATGTGTGTCCAGCTGGCTGCCCTCTGTACCAGCCCGACACATGATTATTTTATGAAGTCATCAGTACCCTGTTCAACTTTCACTTGCACAAAACAGGGAGATTTTCAGAACAGTCTTTTCTTCCTGCAATTGGTCCCAGAGTGTCAGTCTCAAAATAATTCAGTGTACAAGGAGGTTAAACACTGCCCAGCTCCCTGCCAGCAGCAGCAGCACATTGTGCAGCTCCTACAGCACGTTCCTACCACGAGACACACTGAGAACAAGGTGAGTCTTAGCAAACTTTTTTCTTTACTAAAGTCTCTTGTTATAAATTACACAAATAACTTTATAAACAAATCCCCCCCCGCTTGCATTTTTGTTTAAAGTAATAACTTTATATCATACAAATAAAGAAATTTCAAGTATGAAAAGTGCATTATTGCAATAATACCTCTTTGCAAGTCCAAAAATCTTGGTTTAGAATAAAACTGTAAAGTGTAAAAAAGGAGTAAAACAATCAGTGCCATCTATTCATTCAAGAAGTCCAACATCTTAAAAATGATGCTTAGTGTGTTGCAGAGGCAGATTTACATCTGAAAGCAACATGTAATTGAAAAGAAGCTATGTGTGTTCATCGTTTTGCATTATTAATTCTTTTTTTTTTTCCTTTTCCCCAGGTTTTCTTCACCTTTCTTGGCAGGAATTGGTAATACAAACAGTGCTTGTCCTCAGCTCTCATCCATTCTGTGCTGCTGCCACTTGCATGGTTCCAAGTTCTTCATCCTCCTCGTGCATCCTCTTTAAACTTCCTGCAGAAGGGAGAAGAGAAGAGGGAAGTTCAGTCACAGGAGAACAGAATATTCAAGCATATTGAAGTCTGGGCACAGCTCGCACACCAACTGCAGCCATCCCTGCATTATTCTGCTCCTCAAGGTTTACTTAGGGAGTGTAAAAAAAAAAAAAAAAAAAAAAATCACCTCACACACACAGGAGGGGCTTCTCACCTGTGTTCCCAGGTGGGACTGAGAGGGATCTCTCCAGCTGCAGTGGTGACATCATCTGGATGGTTAATTTTGCTAGATAGATGGCTTCGTATTCCTGAAAAGGTTGAAAAATGCACAACGCCAATTAATTTGGCATAACGCTTTGTAAGGGTGAGGAGGATGAATTCAGAGAGTTCACCAGGATGGACTGGAGACTATTTTTATAATCAGGCACAGATTCTGGAGGAGGAGAATCTTTTGTTGCTTTGCCACGAGTGACAAAACCCATCAGGAAGACAGAGCTAAAGAAAACATCAGGGATGACTTTCAAAAAAATGGCTTTAGGGAACACACAAACGCGGGAGATGCTCAATCATCTTCCTGCCAGCCCTCAGCAGAGACACTGCAAATCTCTTGTCAACACTCTGTTTGCCCGCCAGACTCTTGGAACACGACAAAGCAGCTCCAGGATTCTGCTATTTGCCATCCCAGACTTGTGAATCTCCTCACCTCCCAGTGCCACTGTCAAGCAGCATCACTGGTGGCTGCCACAATTCACTTGGCAGCTCCCTCAGCCACCAGCAAAGACGTCTCAGAGCCTCTTAAATCACTGCACAAAGCAAGGTTTTTGTTTCTCCTTCGTTCCTGGACTTTCTGTGTCTGAAGCTTCAGCCTCAGGAACTGGGGGTGCCCACTCATCTTCCTGCCAAGCCCTGCTGCAGCTCCTGACATTTACTTGTTAGTAAATGGGAATTTTAAGTAGAAATGTCTGTTTGGCAGGAAGATGATTCATTAAACGGCTTTTGAGTTATTATCACAGAAAAAAAAAAAGTCACCTGAAGTTGATGGACAAATCCAGCATTAGGATTAATACAGAATCTTCTTTCTTGGACATAAGTAAATGCATCCCTTAAAAAGAGAAGGAGAGAGAAAACACTTCAGTGGAAAACAGAGTGTGACAGAAGTTTGCGGTTTGAGTCTTCCTTCAGATTATCAGTTCCCAGGAAACCCAGAACCTCTAAACCCTCCAAAGGGCTGGTTTTACAGCTGAAAATGTTTGGACAGAAGGAGGCAGCAGGTGTAAAAATGCTGTTTGCCCAGCCCAGTCCTCAGCTGGATTTCCTGCTCAACACAGTGCTCAGAACAGCCCTTGGGGCCTCTCCCATGGTTTTACATCCATGGATATGAGGTGGTGTCCCCATTTCCATCAGCAGCAGGTCTCTACTTCTTAAAAAAGAAAAAAAAAAATAAAAATGAAGGATTTAAACACACCTGCAGTGAAGTGAAATGGAATAATCAGCCCCTTGTAAACTGCCTGACTCACCAGGCAGTTTCACCTGCTGAGACTGAGTGAACACCCAACTGTTTGTGCTGCCTCCAAAAGTGACCATTCACTTACCCTCCCCTTGCATTAAAGCCCAAATTCCTGTTCTTACCTGTACTTCACCCCAAATGTCTCCATTATGTATGCAATAACTAAGGCAGCACTGAAAAGAAACCAAGAGAAGTCAGTGAAATATATTTCAACTGCTTGAAAATATTCCTAAAAGCAGGATGGGGGGGGGTTCCTACCTTCTAGAAATCCCTGCGTTTCCATGGACAAGAACTTTTCCTGAGGAGGAAAACAAACAAACAAACAAACAACAAAACCAATCAAGTACAGTTGTATAAATGGAATAAAATTCTTGGAAATGTAGTTTTTTTACTTGTGATGGAGAACGAGGAAGCACAAGGATAACGGGTGTGTCTTAGTTCACTCTGGATGACTAACTATGCTGTGTCCTGGGACACAAAAACAGGGATTCCTGCTCTTCTGAGGGACAGAATCTGCCCTCCAGAACCACGATGCAAATTTAAGGTCCTACATTACAGCAGGGACAAAAAAAACCTCATGCAGAAAACATGTTTAAAGTGAACCTCCCCCCCAAAAAACCTCAGATATACAAAAAGGCTCATTTTCCAGTCAAAGTCAAAAGAACACTTTGCTCTGAACTTGTACAATCAAGTTCAAATCAAGCACAATAAACCCCCAAATTTAAGGAAACCTCATAATGAAGATCCTCTAACGCGTACCACTAATTGATTTTAAAGCTTTAACAGCGTTCTAGTAAATGAAGGGAAAAAGTCAAGATGATTTTACCTCCACTTTGTAAACTTCCATCAATAAATTCTTTAGTCTAAAAAGAAAAAGAAAAATTACAAGAGTAAAACTTTCAGATTATTTTAAAAGCAAATAGTAGTAACGCCTGAATTTGGTAGAATTTTTGGATCAGTCTTACAGTGCACCAACTGGACATCTGCATTTCTTTAGCACTTTTAACTATCCATAAAATTGTCAGTGAAATTCTTGGTTTTTAGGTGGAAGAAGGAACAGAATGCTTTTGCTCTGATGCAAACTAAATTCAAATAGAGATGAAAACCCCCCAGCTCTAAATCAAGGGTTTATTCTATTGCCAAATATCAGCATGTAACTGTTTAACCTAAAGTAACTGTTTAATTCCCCTACAGTAACATGTTTCAAGATGCTGTGAACTCAAGTCACACCACCTTAGTTACTGTTTTGAACTCGGGTTATGATTTGATACAAGAGATGTAAATACAGCAAGTTTCCCAAAGGTCAAGGTCTCCAGGATTCCCCCATTTCTTTATTTTGAGACCAGAACAAGGCAAAGCTCTTACAACTCTGTCTCCACACTCGTAAAAAAGGAGTTAATTACACTTATTAAAGTGTCAGTAATGAGGTCACTTAAGAGCTGGCAACACTTCCAGGTGCCTCGGGCTGGGTATCCCAAATTTGAAACTTGCTGTCTCTTAGTCCAGAAAACTCTTCCTGGGCAACTCCATTCCCAAAGAAACACTCACCATAGGGAAAAATCGTATTATATTCTCAACTGGATTATCTGCAATATCCAAGACTAAATACCTGCAATGAGAACAGCTGCTGTGAGTAAACAACAACACTGAGTAGCTGCTACTGGTGCAACCCTCCCCCAGTTACTCACACCTGCAGGAGGAGCCCAGCACTTCCCTCCTGGCTCTGCTTCCTGACCTGAGCTCCAGAAATCCTACGATTAAGGAAAACTCTGGAGCTCTCCCCCGTGAGGGAGCAAGTGAGGAACCTTCTCCAACACCCCCTGGCAGAATCCTCTCTGAGAAACAACAACTTTCAAGTCTGAAGTTGCTGCAGATTAATGGATAGTTCTCATTTCAGGCTCATCTGGAGTTCAGCAGGACGGACAAACTCCACGGGTTGGATTTCAAGTCTTTCTGCACCTCAGCACATTTTTCAAATGCTTTTGGCATCGTGGAAAATATTTGGAGAGAACACACATAAAAAAAAACCCCCCAGAATCTGGATGGTTTCTCACCTAAATAACTGTTGGAAGTTTGGTTTAATAAAATTTGCTTCAATGTTTTGCCGTATGCAGATCACATGGGTTATTCCATGTTTCTGAAGGATAGGTAGCTGTGGGGAGAGGCAAACAGTATCTTTTTTAAATTACAGGTCCATCTGTTACACAGTAATAAAAAGGAAAGGCTATATTTAATAACTATATAAAGTTAATAATAAAATAAGGATACAGTATAATATATATATTTAATAACCACGCACAATAGGGCTCTATCATGTCCCCAAGGAAAATCGGAGCTGGTTTCTTAGAATTTAGGGTGAAAACTGTTGTCTTTCAAAAGGAAAAAAAAAAAAAAACATTCCTAACAATGCCAGAAAGATCAGGCATTAAGGGAGGCACTCAATGAACTTGTTTTGTCTCTGCCCACCTTTCACTTCGCCTGAAATTGCGAGTCCCTACACGATGTAGGAATTTCCAGCCAGCACTGGATTCTTGCTGGAATGAGACCATGAAAAAAAAGATCATTTATATTATGAGGCAAGTTTGCAGAGCCAAGCTGTGCCTTAGCAGTGCTTGACTTTATTGGAGATTTAATTTTCCTTCTTTCGCTCTGCGTGTGTGTTTGAGTGCCCAGCTCTGATTTGTGTTGCCAACACTTTAATGAATTGCCTGATCTGAAATGGTCTCAAACAGTCGAAATTTTCAAAGAATTACATTAAGTTTTAACTACAAGACTCAATTTCCATACAAATAGCTCATATTCCTTCTGCTCTGGGATCTTCCACGCTCCAGCTGAGGACTGCAACCACATTTACCCCTCTGTAGATACACCTGAACACAAACCCACAGCAACAAAACGAAATCACCCCAGCGAAGCTTCCCTGGGGGGGGAGAATATGCTGAAAAATCCTACCTTGCTTTTCATAGCTGAAGAATATGGGCCTAAAAATAACCCAGGTAAAATTTCCTAGGAGGAAGAAGAGACATTTTAATACCAGCTCCAAACGACGTGAAATAACACATTTTCGCTCACCTCGGAGCAGGGCCGTGGAAACGAGTAATTTACATCTTAGGGAGAGATGTGTGTTATCAGGTGTCATTTATGAGAGGACAAGGGGAAAACCAAAATAATCAGCTTGGCAGGATAAAAGAAACATGATCTTTGTGCAGGAGATCTTGTTTTGGAACTGGAATCAAGCCCTTCATTGGGACCGAGTTCCAGGTTGATGACGGCGCCTCACCCAGCCCCAGATCGAGTGAAGGGAGCTCTAACTTGGGATATGATCCTGCCTTGGAATTCATTCCAAACGGCTCTCATGGAAATTCTCCTACCTTTGTCCTAGTAGTGGGAAAACATCAGGTTTTTAACCATTTATCCCACCAATTTGTAACCATTTATTTAGTTGGGTAGGTCTTATCCCCCGTCAAGATTTGGCTGATACGTGGAAGGAAAACTTTAAATTTTCCATCCTCCTGGCCAACACTTAAAGCATTGCTTTCTGATTTAAATTTGCTTGGGATATGTTTTCAGCAATCATCTAAAAACATTTAGAAAGGCAAATCTGTAATATTTGGGGGATTATGGGGGGAAAAAAAAAAAAAAAGCACAACGTTAATTTATTTTTAGTACTTGCACAACAGAAATCCAAGCACACCTGCATTTCCAAGCTGGCAAATCCTCACATTAATTAAGTAATTAATTCTGTCTCCCATGGTGCTGCTTGACACTTTACCTGTAAAAGCTGATTTTGATACCAGCTCTTATTTTTTCCCACCCCCCCTCACTGAATGCTCCATGTTTTTTGCCTCAAATGGTAAATGAAAATGTCATACCTGCATCTCTCTCCTCATGGGATAGGTCCAATCCTTGAAAAAGAAAATAAAAAATAATTACATATACACAAAATATCCAGGCAGAGATCTGTATACCAGGATGGGAAAATAGAAAAAAAAAAAGCTTTAGAACATTCTGTATTAGTCACAGAAGAAAAAAAAAAAAAAAAAAAAAAAAAAAAAAAAAAAAAAAAAAAAAAAAAAAAAAAAAAAAAAAAAAAAAAAAAAAAAAAAAAAAAAAAAAAAAAAAAAAAAAAAAAAAAAAAAAAAAAAAAAATCCTGGTACATTCCTGCAGCCACTGGAAAAACAGAAGATAACAAGCAGGGCAGGTACCTCCCTTAAAATCCACACCGCCTCACCTAATACACTCCAACTGCCTTCATTGGGAATATTCAGGATTCAGCTTTACCAATTCCAGAAATCTGGCTTCATTCCACTTTTCCCCACCCTACACTTGCACTTGGGCAGGATCCTGAAACACTAAACACAAATTCTCCCTGCTGGTTAATCCACAGGTCCCACAAAATCCCAGACCCTCACGTTTGTGAGGGTTTACCCCCCTCATTCCCAGCTATTCCCAATCCATCAGAATGCCCAGAGCAAATGCCAGCATCAACATTCCCACCCTTTGCTCCATTTTAGCACTGCCAAAGCTGAGCAGAAAAACACGAGCTCAGGAAGACTCTGTTCCTGTCTTTCCTTCCCTACAACTCCCACTGTCCTCTATTCTTTGCCCCTCACACCCCAAGGATCTGTAGCTGAGATCCCAGTTATCAGCTGGAGGGGAAGGGAATAGTCCCACAAATCAAATCCTGAATACATTTATTCACATAATTTTGCTCTTTGATTCACACACAACCAGCAGCCAAGAGAAAACTTTCCCCTGTGTTGTGTTCCAACGTCCTCAAAACCACGGGAAAGCTAAACCCGAAATATTCCAGCTGGGAAGTGAGGTCAGGATTACACCAGGAAAGGTCCCTTGAACCTGAGCACCTCCACTTGCAGCAGGAGCATCGATTTCCCATTTAAACCTCTTTTTTCCCCCAATACAATAAAAACCCTCAGACACCCCCACGGTGCACAGGGAGGATTTTCCACCTCTTGGTAGTGGAATTAGAAAGGATTTTAGTATCGGTGAAGTTATTCTGGAAAATACTGGGATTGAACCTGGGACAGCTTTTCCGAGAAAGAAAACAAACAAACATTAAGCCACTCAAAACAGCCCTTTGGATACCACCTAAAGTGGCAGCACAAGCAGGGAAATAAAATGCACTGAAATGGGTTTTGCTAAAGACACAGAAGGAGCTAAATTACTTCTGCATGTTCCAGCTGGAATAATAAAAGCTCCTGGAAGCAGAAAAGTAAAAATGCTGTGACAAAAGAGGGTATTTTCAGAACTGCATCCTTCGAAGGTTGACCTGAGAGTGTTTAGCACAACCCTGTTGTCTCATTGCAGATACAAAAGCATCATTCACTCCTCAAAAAAAAAAAAAAAAAAAAAAAAAAAAAAAAAAAAAAAAAAAAAAAAAAAAAAAAAAAAAAAAAAAAAAAAAAAAAAAAAAAAAAAAAAAAAAAAAAAAAAAAAAAAAAAAAAAAAAAAAAAAAAAAAAAAAAAAAAAAAAAAAAAAAAAAAAAAAAAAAAAAGGCAAAAAACCACCATTTTTGTCCAAGAATAAAAGCAACACTAAGAGCAATAAAGTCTGAGAAGCTGAAGCTGCACTCCAGGACTACACACGAGCACTTAAGTGAGTTTATTACTCTGTTTGTAGAATTTATAAGTCTTAATCTGGAGCAAAATTAAAAGACAAATTCATCACTACTTTGGCGGAGGGGACTCAACGAACACATGGCAAATATTCCTTTCAAACGCTTCAGAAGCAGGAATTTGTTAGTCCCAACAGCTGCAAACTGTGCAAAAGAAGTAGGTAAGAACTGAGCCCAAAGGAGCCCAAACCCAAAACACAGCAGGAGATGTTCTGAACAAGGCAAATAAAATGTCTGTGCAGGCCCCAGACATCGGTCCTTGGTGTTCTTCAAGAAGCCAAAAAAGATACAGTTACCAACGGGATTTAGGCTGCAAAATAAGTATCTGAGAGATGGTGTTTAAAGAAACCATTTAATCTGAGGCAAGTACACAAACTCCAGAAAGAGTGATTGTGGTGATTGCTGACAGCCCTTCAAGGCTTTTTAAACCCAACAATGCCAGATTATTCAAATGCTATGCAAGATTATGTAAAAAAAAAACCCCGACCTGTTAATGGAGAGCGAACCCCAGCAGAGGTTTCATTTTAAGGAATTCATTCATCAACCCCGTTTTCCACACTGCCTGACAAATAACAACTGGAACTTTCCCTTTTTAGCAGGCCAAATGCGAGGATTTTGCAAAGCAAACAAGCGATGATGCCAGAGGTGGAGAGAGGAACGGCATTCCTTGGTGCTGAAGAGCTGGGAGGTTCTCCAGAACAAGGGGCGACTCACTGGAAGACAAATTCATCAAACACTTGCAAGACACTGAAGAGAAAGAACGCAAAAAATAACCCCCACAGCCCCAAAGTTTTACAGAGGAGCCACTCACCTCTGATTTATCTCCCCAGACTAGACTGGGATTCACTGGTGGACAAATGCAAGAGATGCCTCAGCTTAATTACCTTAATTATCTGCTGCAATTTGTATTTGCACAAATGAAGTTCCAGGGACCCTCTACATTCAGCTCCTGTCCCAGAATGGAGCGACTTGCCAGCGAAAAGGGAATAAAGCACATTTCAAAGCCCTCCCTTCCCCCTCCAGCTGAAATAAATTGAAGGTATCAATTAATAGGTAAGACTTGTCCACACTGCAAAGAGCTTCTTGGTGTCCAATATCCAAACTGCAGCAAGAGTAGCTCTGCCAACACTTAGTTTTGTCCATATTTTGCCACAGCCACACCTGGTTTTCCCTCAGAACAGTTTAACAGCCAAAAAAAAAAAAAAATTACACCTTCCAACGGCACATGGACTTCTTTCCCCTGAAAGAGCGACCTTGGCTGGGTCAAGTATTCACATTACGAATTTTTTAAAATTAGTTTAACAGCCCTGCCACAGAGATCCCCCCACAAAAGCAAAGACACTGGTGGGTTTTTCCAAACCCAGCACACACACAGCTGCACCTCATGCAATGTGCCTGTGCCTCTCCAGAAGGAATGCAGTGCAAAGGGATCCACGTGACGGGGCTTAACCGGTCCCTGACTGACAGTTCAAGTCTGCAGACCCGGCTGATTTTTCTCCCCCACATAAAAGGCACGTCCCCCGGTCTTTGTCAAAGCTGAGCTTTGGCTGAAAGGCAATCCCAGCTCTGCCCTTGCCTTGGGATGGTTCAACTCCTGCTGCCTCATAATCAGCAGAGCCTGCAAACCACGGGCAGGCCCAGAAGGAGGGAGAAGCTCTCAAAAGGTGCTGAAAATCACACCAGGAAAAGAAATCCCACCAGTTGTTAAAGGAGATGGACATTTCACCGCTGCCTCTTACCTGCTCAGCATCACCCACCTCCTGAACGACTCTCCCTCTTCCCAGACCACCATCCTTTGGAAAAACTGCACACAGCTCCCAGTAAAAACCTTCCTGGCCACTCCAGGTGACCCTTTTCCAAGGCTCAGCTCTTTTGCTGTTGATTTACAGCATCACTTCCCTCCCCACACAGATTTCTTTTCCCATCACAGCCAGGACTTCTGCCTGGCTGACACCTCAAAAACCCAGGGCTGTCAGAACCCTCCTGCCCAAATCTGTTTCCCTGCCTGGTGGAACATTTCAAGTCTCAGCTCCCAAACCCCTGCTACAACGTTGTGAAGTGGAAGCTGCAGACACTGTTACAGGGGCTGCTCCAATTCCTTCACCCACCCTGGACAAATCTTGGCTCCGAGGATTTTGGAGGAAATTAAAATTGCAGCCCGACAGCGTCGGATCAGAACAGTCAGAGGGCAGGACCACCATCATCCCCCTTCACAGGATCCAGCTTGGGTTGTGGATGGGTCCTGATCCCAAAGCTTTGTGCTGAATTCCCAGGCAGCTTTAAGTGTAATTCCTACACTGAAATAAGATCTTAGGTTTGAAAGAATTTTAGACAATATTTTTTAAAAAAAACAGGAGGGGAAGAGGGGACGTTATCATTAAAGACCTGCACAAAACCGAAGTTTTGTTAAATCAAGGCCTTTGTAAAATGGACCAAACACTGCCAAAAGAAATCCCGACATACTAAAGCAGTAGTAGAACACATTCATCTGCCATCTCTTAATCAGAAAGCAGACAAATGGAATTAAGTACTGAAATCACATTCAAGAAAAATATTTGAGTGCTACTAAAACCTGTCACCTCTCTCACTGAAGGGTGGTGCTTAAGGGCCTCCAAATGAGCTGCAAACCAGAGTGAAATGAAAGGTTGTGTCTTCACTTTTGGTCATGCTTCATGTTCTTGGACAGTTACATTCATTAAAAAAGCTTTGAACTGAGATATGTTTGGTTTTTTTTTATACATACAGAATAATTTCAGCTGGAAGGAACCCACAACAATTTGACCACTGCAGGGATATGTAAATATATATAATTTTTTCCACGTAGAAATCCTGGTGCAAGTGTATAAAAGACACAAAATTAATCCCATTTTTTTTGTGTGTGGATATGGCACTAACATGACCAGAGGTTAAGGAGGTTAAATTAAGAAAGGCTTGGACTGCACTGCTATCCCAAAACTGGTTAAAGCACCTGGATAAAGAGTGAGGTGACATTCCCACCCTTGCACAACTTTTTAATCCAAAAGTCACCACACTCAGGAAACGATCCAGGGAGCGTTTTCCAGGGAATTCTGTGTATTTCTCAGGAGTACTCAGACAATGGGAAGGCCTCATCCTACATGTTTTTGCTATTGAAAATATAAAGGAATACAAAAGCAGGAAGGTGGAGAGGGACAACAACAGCAGGTGGGAATGACAGAGGAAGGAAGAAGGGGACAACAGGAAAAGAGAGGTTATTTTAGCAGAGGGAAACACGAGCCCTGGAAAAGGA